ACACACACACACACACACACACACACACACACACACACACACACACACACACACACACACACACACACACACACACACACACACACCCTACATAAGGCTTGCACGTGTCTGCGCACACACATACGCACACAGCCAATCAAACAGATGCCGTGGGGGAGCACAGAGTGAATCTGTAGTGCCATAAAAACAGCAGCATATGCTAGGCCTCTCGCCCCGTGTGCATGACACATAGAGTGCACAGACCCCCACCCAATAATAAAAAAAACACACACACACTTGAGCACTTACAGGCTCCCCAACTGCCTCTGCCTGCCCACCCTTCAGGGTTAAGAGCAATATTTCAATGCCCGGTTCTGTACCACCCACCCCTGCAGACAAAGCTGGGGAGAGGGCCTGGCACTGGGGGCCATCAGTGGAGGGGAGGGGAAACCAGATGGAAGCCAGTGGAATCACATAAATGAAAAAGATCTCTAATTTAGATTTTTAAGGTTGACTCGTCCTGCCCTATGCCCTCAAAGTCTTTTTAGAAAGTACTGCTGTTCTATAATGTTGGCTCGTGATTCGCCACAATTCTGCAGAATTCTCAAAACTGGCACGAATAGATTTGCTATCATTTTTGTGTCTCGGCAACCTGTCTTCTGCAAAATAAAAAAAAACACTCTTGCCAATTAACAGGAATCCTGTGTCAACACCCCCTAATCAGGAGCAATCAACACTCAGCGGAGAATCTGGATGCTTTTTCCCTCACACACATCCTGTTTGCCTGTTGACCTAGGCATCCTCATCGGTGTGTGTGCGTACGTGTTTTTGAACCTCTTCAGAACCTTTTTCAGTATAAACACTGTCGGGACCAATGGACCTGATGGGGACCAACGCCTGGTTCTAATGAGGTTCATTTTATGAGGTCCTGGTTAAGATAAGAGGTCAAATGTGAATTGTGTTTAGGTTGAGGTAAAGATTAGGCATGAATTGGTCATGGTTAAAGTTTGGGATAAGCTTTTGATGTCACAAATTCAGGTTTAGGTTTAGATTAAAATTAACATTAAGGATTAGGTCAGGTTTAAAGTAAGGTTATGGTCAAGGTCAGGTTTAGGTTAAGGGTAAGGTTGGGTTTGGGTTAAGTTTAGGTTAAGGTTAGTGTTAGGCAAGAAGTAGGTTAGGGTACAGCAGTGTGTGTGTGTGTGTGTGTGTCTCTCTCTCTCTTCCGGCCTGGCTCAACAAAAACACAAATCTTATCGCAATGATTAATCACCTGTTACCTGACACAGCCTGGCGCTGCTTCAGAGTTCCTTCCCACCATCATCATACTCACACCTAACGCAGCCTCACGCCCTCATTCACACTCCATCTCAGTGGTAAGAAGACACATGCTCGGGGCTCTGCCCTTTGGCCTTTGGGCCTTGGTAGCACGGCCAGGCATTTTCATTGTGTTATAATCACAGCATCCTGTTTGTGACCCAGTGACATCAGTTCCTGTTTCCTCCGTGATTAAAAAACGCAGAGGCATGCCGGCGCGGGCCAGCTGTCTTTCTCACGCATTCGCTCCTTTCAGTCTACACTCGCAGATGAATCGGGGGGGGGGGGGGGGGGGGGGGGGGGGTTGAGGAAACAACGTCAAAACAAATGAGACACAAACTAATCGGCACTATTTATTCTGAATACGAGGAAATGGGGAAATTGACTGAATTGATGTCATGAGTGGAGAATCAGGAAGCAGATTTGTGATTCCAAACTTCCAATCTGTTTGTGAGGAATGTGGAAGTCGCTGTACATAACACTTTTGTCCCCAAAACAGATCGTGATGCTTTAATCACAAACAAGAAAAGTGCTTTACAGCTCTGGTCCCACAGGCTCCTTTAATAGCTGGAACATCTGTTCACTTAATTCAGAGTCTCATTTCTCTTGTGAATGATTTTGAATATGAACACACGCGGTGTATGAGGCTTCAGTATTCAGAGACCCTGCCCTGCCCCCAGAGTTGTCTTATTAATTAACACTAGGTGTCAGTAAGAAACCCACACAGAGGAAATAATAGATGCTGAAAATGAAACCTTCAGACTCACTCAAAATGAAACCTTCAGACTCACTCAAAATGAAACCTTCAGACTCACTCAAAATGAAACCTCAAGACACACTCAAGTTCAAGTGCAACACAATTAAACAGCAGCATTTAACTATATGACAGCATTTGACAATTGGGGGTCCACTGCCAGAGGGTCCTGTGAAATCTTTCAAATCCATCCACCTCAATGAGCATATTCTGTATTGAAATGGTGAAATGGTTTTTAATGCATGTCTAATATCTTTCTAGACATTTCAGGCTACGTCAAATTATTCCAAGGGGGGGGGGTCACTCTCTGGAATATCATCGGCTGTGATAAATGCAGAACTTCAGGTACGGAGCTAAAATGAAGTTGTTTTGCAGGATCTGTTTGTAGATGCCTTCAACCTGCCCCAGTAACCAGGCCTCAAAGTCCTGACGTACAAAAGAATGTTTATATCATACTTTTAAAGAAATCAACCTTCACTGTCGGTGCAGCAGGGACATGTTTACATCTATATAAAGTATGTATATATAGCGTCCCTCCCCTATAGCCACACAAAAATCTTGTTTACCGGATTTACTTAATATCTTTTAAAATGGAAAACCCAGCTATGGAAATGAGGGCAAGAATTAAGCGAGTGTTAACAACTCAGATTAAGATTTTAGTTTTGGATTCAGTATCTATTTTAAAATCAAAGACAAAAAGACAGGTGAGCATGTGATAAGCCCACCAGTCAAAACATCGCAGCAGCCATTGGATTAGATTACAGGCCGTGCTGTCAGTGAAAGCCTTCTGTGGCTTGTGGTGAGAGCAGCCCTGAGGAGCTGGAGGAGCGGACAGACATGAAAGGCCACGGTGTGATGGGATGGAAGCTTTGGTCATGACACAGGGTCAAACAAAGGCCCTGGATCGTGTGGTGCTTTATATTCACGAAGAGCTGATACAGTTGTCTGCCCTCTTATCAAGGCAGGTAATGCCAGCTATTTATAGATAATCTATTTAATGAGCACAGATAATCCTCTACTATTATATCAGATCCACCAGGAGTGGGGGGCGTTCTTGTACATTTGATCAGGTCTGATGTCGCTGAGATCATGTTTGTGTGCTTGCTCTGTTTCAGATGTGGTCCACACACGCTTTTGACAGGTCAGTATTTCAGAGGATTTTATTCAAAGCTCACTGGTTGTCAACACATGGTCTAAACTCAGAAACTACCTTTGGCTTCAATGACTTGCAGCCAAAAATCCTGATCTAAATGTTTGCATCAGGCGGGACATTGTTGTGCCTCCCTTTCCTTACAGCCAGTGAAACAACGTGTTCGTCCAGATATACACGTGTTTCAAGTTTGAAAGAGTAGCTAAGGGAATGAAAGGAAACACTTGGAAACAAACACCAACCAAAGATTTTGGTTTAAGATTTTGTATCCATTTCAAATCTATCTCTTGGACAGCAAAGACACACAACTTTCTCAGCTTTTGTGATGAATAAAGTTTGTAAAAATGTACTTTTCTGATCAAATGAATTCATCAATCATAAAGCAACTATAGAGAGTAACAAGTTGACCCAGTGGTGAACCAGCTGGTCACACATGACCTGTCAGACTGACCCTGCTGGCTGGATTAAAGTGTAAACAAACACCCAAATTGTACTTTTATACATAGAGGACATTTGAAAACAAAAAACCCTTCATTCCTTTCTTCAACATGTCTATTCCGCACGTTTCAGGGGACTGACCTGAAGTGAGATGAGCGATCCTCACTTGTCGACGTCTTCCCATTGGATCTTTGATTGGTGGGGGGGCTAGAGTTCAGTCTGGCACATGTAAACATCCGTGTAGGGGGGCGGGGCTTCTGCAGAGGTCAAATGTGAGGCCCTGTGTCAGGTCAGACAGAAATACTTTGTTAGAAATACATGTTATGATGGATTTCAATACAAATACATGCAGTTCATAAGTCTTGGTGTCATGACATGTGAATCTCGGATATATCTTCGATCTATTTGTCATCTAGAAACATCTAACATATATAAATCTAACATGAATCTTATACATCAAACATAAATAGACCTAAGATGTATGTCAGATTAGATATAGATGTTAGATTTAGACGTAGAAAGCCTCGCTCCTGTTAAGGCCTGAGCTTCCTGTGACTGATCTGATGCAATGTCTCCACATGTTACTGCTGCTGAGGCCCTGAAACGCTCAGGGAAGTTGCATCAGCCAGAGCCAGTCTGAATTATACGCAAATCTGTTCAATGAGTGACGACGCAGGCGACCAATCAGAAAACACCTCATTATGATTGACGTTGTTTGAGCCAATCAGCTTAAATTGTCGGTGTGGATCTTGAGTCAGATTTAAACCAATAGAGTTACTAGTTTCACTGGGTACTCCGCCTAATTTGGCGCACAGAAATCTCATTGGATGAGGTGTGATGTGGGGAGAGCGTGGTTTAATCGTGATTGGCTGTAAACGATATCCGGGACTCGTCCGCCCGCCCTTCACTGTATAAATACAGTGAACGCAGCTACGCCATGTTGTGGAGGAAACATCTGGGAGAGGCAGCCGCACAGGAGCCAGACTCACGGTTAAAACCTAGAAACTGCGTCATCTCCAAAAAGTTTTTATTACTTTTGATCCTGAGTTTTTCCTCCACCCTCTCACCAGCCGGCGCAGAAGCTGGCTCCAGCGGTTTTCCAGCATTTCTCCCCCATCGATCAGAAGGCCAAAGCGGCTGCCATGGATTTCTAAGGCATAATGCGGCGCATCTAAGGCAATGGCAATGCATCATGCAAGGCAACACAACTCCATCTTCACAACTGCCAAGCAGTTGGGCTCGAGTACCGTCCGCGGTATCCCTGCGAGCCAGCCGGTCCCCCTGCTCCTGGACCGGAGGAAGCTAACGCTAGCAAGCTAGTCGGCCCGCGCTACAGCAGCGTCGAGTAAACGAAATATTCATCGATTCATCCCCGATCAGAACAATGAAGCCTCAAGACATCGTCGCCGGGAAGAGCAGCAGCAGCATCAGCAGCCTGTGGATCTTCGGGTACGGGTCACTGGTGTGGAAGCCCGACTTCAAGTTCAGGAGGAGCGAGGTCGGTTACATTCAAGGCTACAAGAGGCGTTTCTGGCATGGAGACAACTTCCACCGCGGGAACGACGAGTTGGTGAGATGCTTAAAGTTTTTATTTTATTACATTAAATGTGTTTAGCTGCTTCTTGTGAGCACAGACCGGAAACTAGGCGTTGTCCCTGACGTGACCCATTTCTCTTCCTCTCTCTGCAGCCCGGAAGAGTGGTGACGCTGATTGAAGACGATGACGTAAGTTGAATTCTTGCTTCCTATTGGTTCATGCTGTTTGATCCACAGTGGGCGTTTCCACCCTGAAGATTTCCCCTCCCCTCTCACATGACTAAACATGTTTCCTGTCTTGTTTCCACAGGAGTGCACATGGGGTGTGGCGTTCGAGGTCACAGGCTCCCAAGTCGAGGAGTCCCTGAAGTACCTCAATGTGCGTGAAACCGTCTGCGGTGGCTACGTCACCAAGATGGTGGATTTCTTCCCTCAGGGGGAGAACCAGCCGCCAGTCCAGGCGCTGGTGTACATCGCCACTTCCGAGAATGCCCTGTATCTGGGGCCGGCCAGTCCTGAGGAAATCGGCGCCCAGATCGCGGTGTGCAGGGGGAAGACGGGCCACAACCTGGAGTACATGCTCCGGTTGGCCCAGTTCATGAGGAGCAGCTGCCCAGATGTGGAGGACCACCACCTGTTCTCCATCGAGGCGGCGGCACTGGCAGTGGTGTCCTGTCTGATAGCAACCAGTAGTTCGTACCCTTTGTCTGAGTAGCTTAGAGTGGATAAACACAACAGAGGCATTTCATCAACATCCTAGCTAATCTCAAATTCTACATCTTGAAATTTCAGCCTCAAAATAACCACCCAGTGTACTTACATCCATTATACACTACTGACATGATATCAAAAGAACGCACATCATGTTCTTTTTTTTGACTTCATGTCCACATTGCACCTACTAATACACCTACAAAGATCACGATCACTGGCTTGTTTACTGTAAACATGTTTCAAAGTCACCTAACTGTCTTTATATATTTTTATTTTATTTTACTTGCACAAACCTGAGTCCGTCCAGTACATTCAGACAGAGCAGCACTTGAATGTGGTAGTTCATGAAATTCACCAAATGTCTGATGTACTGTGGTAAACACCTGCAAATGTCAAATAAAAAAAAAAGTAAAAGGAATTCTTATTGTTTGTGGTTTTTGAGCTTTACAGTAACTCTGCTGTGAAGCTGGTGGGCTGGTCTTCAACATAAGTTAACTATCTTTATAAGCAATATTATTATCTAGCTTATGCTGATTAGTATTAAAAATATGATGGAATGTGTGGTTAACAGTTTTTGATCTTCAAGTGAAACTGCGTGTGAGTGGGGGGAGGGGGTTATTGTGAAGTTACTGGCAGTGGGTAGTTTTTACTTCCATATATGGAAATGCTAAGTAATCTGGCGAGCACATGGCCTGGACCACTAGCTTAAGAATCCTCTGACTCAGAAAAGGGAGGTCTGACAACAGATCAGTGTGCAACAGGATGACGACAAAGAAATGATTTGTCTAACTATAATTTCTAATGTGTATTTTTACATAAGTAGTGCTGACTATTTTCACCACTAACTCCAACTTCAAAGATAAAAATTCCCTCTTTATTTGAAGATATTCATACTTAAGTCAAAGAACAACACTGGAGATGTTTCTCAAAACATATTTTCGCAGGAATTTTACTCAGCAGCTTTTTTTCCAGACACCTCACTAAACTCACTCTGTTTGAGCCGGGCACCGCCCTGGGCTTAGCACACACTCAAACATACGTTGGACACTCCCAGACATTGGCAGGAGCGGCTTGTACCTTGGACATGAGTCAAGTCTGAAGAGTCTAGGTGCAGTGGCTTATATAACCACCGGACCGGGAACAAGCCCCAGACCCGGAAGTCCTGTGTTAATGTCAGAATGCACGGGGGGGGGGTGGGCAAGAACAAGCCGCTGAGGCTGCTCATCCAGATCCTGCACCGAGTCATGTGAACATAAACTGACCGGGTGTCTGCTACACTTCAGAATATTGATTTGAGACATTTTAATGTTTTTGCTAAAGGATCAGCTCACCCAAATCACATGAGCTCAGTCTGATTCCATCCCAGTACCATTGAGATGAATGGAGTTTGACATTTGCTGCTCAAAACACTTAAAATCTCAACATCAAAAACTTAATTACGTCTCTCTCACTGCGAACAGCTTTCAAAAGACTATTTCTTTTAGTCTTTTAGTCATTAGCTAGCAGCTAATGACTCAGGAGAAATAGAAGAAAGTAATATTGTCTGAAATATTTCCACTGAACAATCTTTATAAATCATTTTATATGACTTTAACTACAAACAGAGGGCTTCAGTTTCAAGCCAGATGTTGCAAAGACCTAGGTCTAAATCAAGCCTGAAGGACTCATGCCTCCATACACGGGGCACCAGTATTTAGAGAACTCTCCAGATTATACCTTTGACCTGTTCCAGGGTGCTTTTGTCCCTATTTTAGTCTTTAAACTCACATTTATTCATGTTCCCATTATTTTTTTTCATCAATTGATAACAGAGCTTATTACACTGCCTTGCTCCTGTCCTCAAACTGTATAAACTAGAATGGCACACAGTATAAAACCACATTTAAATTCCCTAGAGCCAGACTTTTGGATCTGCATCAAATTGCACACACTCATAAATAGCAGTTTCCTAAACAGGCCTATTTTTTTTATTAAGATCCATGAATCATTCCCAGAGAAATCAGTGAAAATGTGTAAAAACTGCCCTGTCTCGCAATGTTGAATAAAGTGTAAAACAAATTCTTGAATCTGAGTCCTGATCTGGATCTGCATGAAAATGTAATGGGTTCCCCCCTGAAGGATACTGCATACAAGCAAACAGTCCGACAAACAAACAAACAAACAAACAAACAGGTATGCATTATTTGCATCATGAAGATTGCCTAATCTCATAATGTTAGAGAAAGTGAAACAAATAATTCTGGATCCGCACCTAAATTTAATGAGTTCTTTCCAGACCCATACCACATCTTTCCACCAAGTTTGGTGCTAATCAGTCCTGTTGTTTTTGTGTAATTCTGTTCAAAAACCAACAAACAGGCGAAAACATAACCTCCTCAGCAGAGTTAATCAGCAAAACCAATCCAATAAAATCACAAGAAAATATTGATTTCAGCTGATTTAGCACTCCATTTATTTCCAGTTGGCTCCTCCTGTTAGTAAAATGGCAGATGCATTTCTTCATATGTACACATGACCTATAAAAATAGACAGGCGAATGAGGGACAAGCCAGAGGAAAAGTTGCTCTCATCATTATTTACATCAATATAGAACATCATATTTTAATCACACTATTAACACAAAAACAAACGATGGACAAACCTATAATATAACAGATGTAGTGCTCAACGTAGGACACTGATGCAAACCTTTCTTTTTTCTAAAACATCAATGACATCAAAGAGAACCACAGACGCCTCATCACAAACAAAGCAACTTCTGAAAAATAAAACATGGCTTCAGTACAATTTACACTGTTTACAGCTGAATATCCTCATTCACAATTATCATAAACTGCCCACTTAACAGAAATAACTTAAACATTAGAAAACCAAATAATCTGAGTGAATTCTTCAATTGACTGTTAGCAGCGTTGCTGTATCAACCAGAACAATTATTTTGGAATATCATTTTTTACATTATCCTTTCATTCATTTTCCTATCGGGCCAAAAATATATAACATCAATTCTTATTTCCATCTGCACTGGGATACGTTACGTTTTTTTCCCCAAAACGTTAAGACCTGTCATGTTGATTTGGGTACTTACATGTTTTCTTACAAAAATAAGAGCTTTAGTAGAAAAGCTGTTGTTTGGTGGAGGTTGGTCAGCTGTGGGCTCACATTACGCTCTATAAAATGCAGAATCATTCACCAGTTTGCACTGAGCATATCTACAGGACAATTAAATAACCTAATGTACATGTATGAGAGTCAATAACACCAAAAACAAAAAAAAGGAAACGGAAGACGTGGCTCAGTGCATTTGACAGAAACTCCGTTGCCTCACCATGCTGGCAAACACAAGGAATTCAAAGCCCTTTAAGCTACGCGTGTTGGTTCACGTCTCGTATCGTTACTGCTCGGCGGCAAATCGAAAGAGCTTCCTGTCAAGAATAGAAAAGTACAGTTTGTCTTCTCGAAAAAAAGCACTTGGAAATACTGTTGTCATGATGCAAACAAAATTACTCAAGGCAGATTTTCGTCCACTGACCTGGACACATTAAAAATGAACCTGACACAAGACACAAGGAGGGTGGTGGGGACTGTACCTTCAAATGACTGAGAGTGTGTGTGTGTGTGTGTGTGTGTTTGTGTGTGTAGAGTGTTGTTGAGCCAGCAAACACAGCATGGTCCTCCAGGTAGTGAGCCTCAGTTACTATAAACACTGTACTCCCTATTTTCATCTTAAATGTAGGTTGTCTGTACGGATCACAGTGAGAGAAGGTCAGTTATCTCTGTGTGGTTATGTGTGTGTGTGTTCTATGTTCCATAGTGAGACACTTGCAAGAGTTTGTGTGTGAGTGCATCATCGCGCCCCAGGACCACCGGGACCCTTGCCCTTCCTGACTGCACCGTGACTGCTGTGGTGGCTTTGGGCCAACTGTTTGTGGGGGCTCAGGCCGGTGGACGTGCCTCCTTTGGCCTGGGGGGACGAGCTCCTGCTGGGGTTGAAGGCCGGGCTGGTACCAGACCGGCCCAGAGAAGGCTGCAGGGGACTGGACACAGCGAGGCCTGCTGGAAGGGAGGGAAATGTCTATGTCAACTTTTTTTATTTAGCACATTTAAAACAACTTGGTTGACCAAAGTGCTTCACAAAGTGAAAGGCACAAAAAGATGAAAGCAACACGCAAACATCAAAATACCAACAGTAGAAATAAAATCAGATAAATAAAATCAAAATAAAAGTCATGGAGCACAGTTACCCTCATGAAAGACACTCGACAATTTCTCTAGAATTTTCACATTGAAAGCAATTTTTATTCTGAAAAACATGAGGAAGTGTTGATTCTAGTTAAAGGCGCCTTATAGGGGCGTAAGGATTATGAAACTGAGACCAAAAGTGCAATATGTCAAAAATACAAAACTCATTAATTTCCCCATTAACACTAAAACACATTTATATATGTTAAAGTCTTAATACACCTATTTTGGTCCAATCATGATCGAGTGATCATGCCTGCAGTTAATGGTTGGCCAGTTTAATTAGCTCAAGTCAGCTGTGTGGGAACATTTTGGTTATCCCCACCTTACCCGACCTCTATGTGAATAAATCCAACACAATATTCACAAACCTCCAGAAACACTGTAGCCGTAAGCAGCATAAGCAGCAGCTGATGCAGCTGCCGCACCAGCGATTGCTCCTGCCATAGCTGCCGCGCTGCCCGCTGTCGATTTGCGCCCACGTCCTTTTCCTCCTGACTTGGTCCCGCCTCCCGATCCTTTGGGCCGTCCCCGACTCCGCCCAGATCGGCCTCTGCCAGGACTGATGGCGTCTGAGGCTGAAACACCTAAAGACAGAAGGAAAGCACATTAAATTACAAATGGATCAGCTGTTTCCAGAGCCCCCTCTCAGCTTGGGGTCCCAGGCAATTCCCTACATTGCTGACCCTGTTCCTACATCCCTGGGTATGACAGGGGGGCTGTAACCTCACAACCAAGTTTGAACCGTCACCCTCATGTTTAGCTAACATTGGCTTGAATAACTCGGGCCTCAGCATAGCATCAAATCTGCGTGGACTGGGGAATAAAGTTTTCAGCACTGTGTCATCTGATTATGTAACTGCTGCGTTGTTTTCACACCCACTCTGCCAGGAGAGACAGAGAAGATGTAGCCGGGAGGAGAGGACGAGAAGTCGAGGGAGAGAAGCAGCATCAGTATCTTATCTTGTGGAAAGAGTGGAGGAATGTTGCAGATGGAGAATGGCTGCAACACAGGTCTAGAGCCTACTCATGTTGAACTGAGGGTAGACTGGACGCTACAGTGAATACAGCGCCTCTTCAGGAACAAAGTGGTAAAACAAGACAGGCCAGGGCTCGCTGGTTAGCATTCTAACCTCAATAGATATATCACAAAAACAGAGACACGGATGTCTTTCAGATAACATCCAAACCTATTATCTTGGTTAATTTTAAATGTTTTAACTTAGACAGTGCCCCTTTAATTATCTGAATACATTTTGAGAAATTAATCCATTTACAGTCAGACTAGACAGAAACAGAGTGAGACCGGATGATGTTCTGTCTGTCTCAGCCTTACCCCAGTCCTTCAAAGACACAGCGGTAATTTTACTGTAATACAGAAGAATTATTACACGTTTAACTATTACTTATCATTACCACAAGTGCAGGCTCCAGCAAAAACAAGAGCCATACTCTCATTTTCCATACTGTTTGCACAACTGGAGCCAGCGTCTGCCTAATCCTCCAGCACTCTCTCCCCTGTCTCTGACTCCTTACGTCTCTCCACTCGTCTGCATGTTCCACTCCACACGCTACCGTAAAAAGAAACCCCTCTATGGGGGGGGGGGCCACCCTATCGCTTACACACAGCAAAGATGGAAAAAACCATGCACAAATCCCTAACTCTTCGTCTTGCCCTCCCTCCAGAGCCCTTAATCTCACTCTTCCTCCCTTTTCACGTTGTTGTCCAAGTTCACCGATCGCTCCCTAATTCTAACCGTCATGCCGTTTTGCAAACCTTTCATTACGACATTATCGGCATCTCTGAAAGCACCAACTTTCTCCCAGCTCATTGGGTCTGGTTAGTAAGGGCCATCAATAATCCTACTGGCAGCAAAACATGGGTTTCGGTGAGGCAGCATGTATTTAGGAGGGATTAGCTTATTGCAAAGCGTCCTATATACAGATATAGAGACAGAAAAAAACCCTATACGTTCAACATTTATCTGGATAACATGGTACAGATACAACAACAATAACACCCTCATAAATCCAAATAATCAGCAGCATAATGCAGATGAGGTAAGAGACTATTTGTCTCAGTGGACAGGAGCCTTTTAAACCACTTTAGTCAACCAAGTTGTTTTAAATCTACTATATAAATACAGTTGACATTGACATATTAAAACACAGTTCCTGATAGTGAGGAGAACATAACAAGTCAGACTTCTGCAGTAATGACCTTCTTGTAAGTCGCTCTGATCTGCTCCTCCACCCTCATTCTAACATGATAACACTATCTCATTGATAACACACACGTTATGTTCTGTTTGGCAAAGTTGGAGCTTGTAGAATTAAGGGCAGCTGAAGAGATTAAATGTACCGAGATTATCTTTATTTAAACCATCAAATATGACCATGTGGACAGTATGGGTTATACTCCATGTGATGGGGTATAGAAATGTCCCAAAGTCCACGTGACTTTGGGTTTGTTGATATTTAGTGACTAATTTGTGTGGATTCAATGGTGGAAGAACTTTATTCAAGTCAAAGTATAAATACCACAGTGTCTATATCAGGCAATACCACAGCAACAGTTGCAGCAACATCATTTAAAGCATAGAGTTGCAAAAACTGAAAAGTGCAAATTTGTCAAAGGTTAGTCCGATTAATTTGTTCTTTCACCATTCATGTTGTCCGAGACTGATCCAGACACGGAGGCGGGGGAGTTGGTGGCGCGCGACTGCGGCGCAGAAGACACCGGGTCGTCCACGATGACCAGCATGTCGCTGCTGCTCTCGTCCGCATCGGCGTCCGGTGGCAAAGAGCCAGGCTGGAGCTCGCTGCTCAGGGAGATCTGGCCGTGCACAGGAGCACACACAGACACACACACAGGCTAGGGGTCAGCACCGAAAGGAACGCAGGAAATCAGGCCGGTACAGTAAAGGGAGAAGAATGGAGGAACATTGCAAGGAACAAAAAGGAGAAGGAAGGAGAAGGAAAGATGGAATATTCAGGATAAATAAAGTCAGGGAAAGAAGGAAGAAAAAAGGAAAGCAAGAGTGATAGGAGAGTAGAACGAAAGAAAGAAACAACATGTGGAAGGAAAGGAATCAATAACAGATATAAAGAGGAGGGAGGATGAGAAAAAGAAGGAGGGGTGAGAGAAATTAAAAGCACGAAATTAAGAATAAGAGAGAGTTTGTGGATAAATGTTAAATCAGCCACTAACAATCCCCTGTAACATAAATCACAGTCATACACAGTGTTCCCTCCTTAGCCGATGCCCTCACCTCACTGAAGGGACTGGGCATGGCGGAGTCCATCTCCACGCTGATGAAGGAGTCGTCTCCGTCTGCAGAGAGGTTGGAGTTGTCAGCCGAGGGTGCGTGGGAGATGACAAGGTTCATCTCCTTCTTCCTCTTGATCTCCGACTCCTCGTTCTTCTTCTGCAGGTTAGAATCAGACAGGAGCAGAAGAGAGCGAGAGGATTGTTAGTTTATTACTGTCAACATTTTTCCTTTTCCGTTTCCTTCTCGGAGACTTATCTCAAATCCTCTCGTCTTCTCTGCAAAGCCTGTATCGAGTGTTCAGTTGCTTGGCCTGTCCGTCTGTCCAACACTTGTGCAAAGAAAACTCAGCGACCACGGGGCAGATTGCTGTGTAATCTGGTACGGATACCGTCCCCAGAGGAGGATCTCTAATGACTTCGTCGACCTCCTGACCTCACATCAAGCACTAATTTGGCCCATGACAAGGAATCTCAAATGAACACGTGGATTTTCTATAAATGTTCTTGTGGATGACTGTGAGACCCAGAGAATAAATGTTCATGTTTTTGGTGACAGCTCCTCATCTTTCCATTGGGCCAAACTTCGACAATAAAAACTAAGAGTCAGATTGCAAGTTTTTAAAGAAACTTTTTTGGTAAGCGATGGAAAGAAGGTTGCTTTTGATCATCCCCTTTCATTCTCACCAATTTAGTTTCTTCTTTTTTAATCACAACATTCTTCCTCACGCTCACGCACGTACCTTCTCAGCGTACTTCTCCCTCTTCCTCTTGCGCTCCTTCACCTTGCTGCACTCCTCCTGCTGCCTCTTCTCCTCCTGTCTCTGCCGCACTGCAGGATGTGAGACACAACATATTCTTTGAGTTTCTTCCTTCCTCTGTATGATTTGGCTTTTGTGCTAAAACATTTGATGTGTTATGTAAGCTTGTGTGCTTCAAAAACTCACATTTCTTCTCCAGCTCATCGTCGTCCAGCAGCAGGCTCACCACCTCTTTGGGTTTGAGTGTGTCTGGTTTAAAGTTTCCTCCAGAGATCACCACCCTTTGGATCTTATCACACAAGAACAAACATCCTTAATGAGATTGCATCATGATGTTCACTGTTTAAACACTCTCTCTATCACTTCTTTGGGTTGTGTATGTTTTGTTTGAGTGGAATAGAGCCTTTTTAAAACCCTCAAATTCAAACTGCTGTCTTAATTTTTGTGTTGCGTTTGTTTGCATTTCAGACCTCGCTCTTCTCCTTGGCTCTCTGCAGGATCCGCTCCTCAATGGTGCCCTGACAGATGAGGCGGTAGACGGTCACCTGCTTGGTCTGACCCAGCCTGTGAGCCCTGTCCATGGCCTGTTGGTCCACTGTGGGGTTCCAGTCACTGTCGTAGAAGATAACCTGGAGGAAAAAAATGCATAAATTCAATAAAATAAATTTTTCCACGTGGTTCGATTGGATTATTGTGATGATGTGAGGGAGCCACTCCCCTCTTTGTGACCTCTGAGCCTAATTACAGCGACGTGTTATCCCCTGTGAACTGTCCTTTAACAAGACAGATGTCCCGTGTTAACAATCACTTCAAACTCATTGTCAGGAAAGCTAATCCCACTTGATCAGGGCTATAGGGACACAAAGGGACATTATGCTGAGAGATGCTGATGAGCGCAGAGATCATCATTTATGCATGCATGTTCACCCCGCCCCCTCAGTGCACACACATCCGCACTATATCATCATCACTTCAACATGTTATTACCTCCGCCAGTTTCACCCCTGTCCATTTGTTTTGTGTTTGGTTTATTTGTGAATTAGCAGGAGTACACAAAAAGAACCGAACGGATTACAACTTGGTGAAAGGGTGTGGTATGAACCCATTCAATCTGGTGAGGAATCCAGATCAGAGGGCAGATTAAGGAATTTCTCTTCACTTTCCTTAACATTGTGATATGATATGAACATTTTTACTGTCCCAGGAGTTGATGAAAAGAAAAATCATATTAATCTATTCATTACATTATTATGTATCT